GATACTTGATTAACCTTAGCTAATACTAAGGCATCTCTTACATTAGTAACATCAGTCTCTAGTTGTTAGAAAAGGGCTCAAGCCTGTACATCTTCAGGCAAGCTTTCAATGTTAGGTTTGAGAGGTAGGAGTGGTAGGATTATGTAAGAGGATCAACCTACAGTGTGTGTCAAAAGTATTGTAACACTATATGACAATTTACTTTTTTGCTCATAACTCAATCAAATCTTTATTAATTAAAGTACTGTAAATTGTAGAGTAAAGAAGGACTACTATACTACTAAATAAAAGGCCATTAAATGATGATAAGGAGTTGTGGTGTAAAAGAGAGGCTATCTAAGAAAAGGAAGGTGTTACATTACTTATGCTCTAGTGTATCTACTCTACTTCTATGACTTGTAGAAATTCAGAACTACCTCCAAATGACTTGAAATTTAGTATTTAGTGTATCCACCCCTTGCTTTCTTCAATGCTTCTACTCTACTGGGCATAGAATCATAAAGTTTGGAAATAGAAGAAAGAGGGATTTTGTACCATTCCTCCTACAAAACCTTCCAAAATTCCTCCTTATTCTTTGGCTGCTCCTTTCTAGCACGAACCATAGTATCTACATAGTCCCATACATACTCTATAATGTTCATGTCAGGTGAACTAGAAGCCCATGGAAGAAGATGAACATGATGAGACTCAAACCAAGTAGTAGCAAGTTTAGACTTGTGCTTAGGATCATTGTCCTGAGCAAAATGAGTATACTTCTTAGTGATTCTGAGTTTCTTCAAGGTAGAGAGAAGTGAACTCTGCAGGATTTGTGTGTACATCTCTGTATCCATCTTACCCTCAATCCTATGAAGAGTCCCAACACCTTTAGAAGTGACACACCCCCAAACCATAATACTTCCACCTCCATGCTTCACTATCTTCTGCACATAAACATCATCAAACTCCTGCCCAGACCTCCTGTAACACTACTGACAACCATCAGAGCCAAAAAGATTGAATTTGGACTCATCAGAGAAAATGACAGAATGCCAGTCTAGAGTAGTCCAATCTCCAAACGTGTGAGCCCATTCTTTTCTAGCCTGCCTCAATTTGATGCTGAGAAAGGGCTTACAGCAACAAACATAGGCTTTAAGACTATGTTTATAAAGGTGACAATGTATGGTACTCTTGCTGACATGAGGGAAGTGGTTTTGTTTGAGATTGGTAGCATTATGAGCTGAACCAGATGCAAGCATTCTAGCAGCAGAACAACAGTCAGGCGATGAAAGCTTGGTGGGACAACCTGGCTTGGGCATAACAAAGTACAGATCACTAGTAAGGAGGAGCTTGTAGTACAATCAGGAGACAGTAGAATGAGAAAGGCTAAGCCTTTTGGCACACTCAGAGTAAGACATGCTAGCATGCTTGTAGTCTAATAGACACACTTTACAAGTGAGTGTAGTGTAGTGTATAGAGTAGAATAGAGGTAATACTAAAGCCTAGGGTGTAAAAGGAGGCACAGGTGTTGAAATAATGAGTACTGGGGCAGCCTTTTTAAAGTGTATGTGCTGTATGCATATGTAATACAACAGTATGTTTTTTTTAGATCTGTCTGTCTTGTATAATTACTGCACATTTTGCAGTCTTTTTTACATACATATATTCACAGTATATTACACTTAATTTACATGTAATTTATATGAGCATAAGTGTTGTGTGGAATGATGTGTAGAGGCAAAATGAAAAACACATAGTGTGTTGCAATACTTTTGACATGCACTGTATGTATAACTGAAAGGGGGAGTACCCTGTAGAGGCATTCTTTGAATTCATGAGTTTGAAGCAGACTTGAGGGAGGGCACAGACCCATCCCTTCTACTAACAATCTACATAGAAGCAAAGGGCCTAGATGATAGTCTTATTAGTATGCTTGGAGAGGCTATCCATTTGTGGATGATATACTATAAACATCTTAAGTTTCACTCCAGACATAGTATGTAATGCATGCCAGAATTTTAAAGTGAAAAGGTGGTCCTAATCAGAAATAATGTGAAGTGGAAGTCCATTTTCACAATACTAAGCATCAAAGAAAAGTTGTACAAAGTCTTCTAGGGTTTGAGACATTTTGACTAGAATGAGACAAATGTCAGATCCTAATTAGTCAGTAATTGTTACAATACTATTGTAGCCCTGGTCAAGTGGAAGAGGCCCTACAAAGTTAATGAAAATTGTGTCTCCTTGTTGGTCTGTAATAGGGAGAGGATGTAGCAGACCCATTAGTTTTTTTGTTGTAGATTTGTTATGTTAGCACACATTGTATTACTTAATGTACAATGTTTCAAGATTGGTCTTCATGTTAGGCCAGTAGTACAACAAACATAAAGAGGCATAGGACTTGTTAATACTATAGTGGCCTATAGAGTCATGAGCAAGTTTGAAGAAGGTCTCACAAAGATTACTAGTATGAGTATTAGATTGCACTCTGGATTAGGAAATCCCCAATTGCCTTTATGTAGAATTACTGCTCTTGGAATGTCTCAGATTATCAGACTTCACTATGTAGTATATAAGGTAGATACTTGCTTGATGTCTCAATAAGAGAGAGTACTTGGGGCACTCCTGCTATGCTTGTTAAAAGGTTATGAGCCTTAGTGCCCATTGAATGCCCCCACACACTTGCTCTCACAGAATGCCTTTACCTCCTGCCAGACCACCAAGCCCAAGACCTCCCTCTCCCCCTAAACTCATTACAATGTTGTCTACAATACATACCTTTGTTAACACTACAATGAAGGACTCTGACATTATGAAGTTCTTCAAGGGAACAGAAAAGTTGGCTGGTGCAAAGGGATACAAGATATGGCACTTGTGCATACACAGTACACTCACTACTATGATGCTCTTAGACCATCTAGAGCATGATCCCCCTTCCTCTAATGATGCTAGCATACGTACAGGTAATGTTTTGTATCATTGTATAATGAAAACAATAACTGATGCAATTTATACAAACTTCACAACATATACAAGTGTTAGAAGTCTCATGAAGGTGCTTTCTGAACAATACAATGTTCAAACAATAATGACACATACTGTAGACATATCCACATTGTTTATAGTAAAAGAGCATGTATCACAGTTTGATAAGATGTTAGACAACATTGAACAAATCTACAGGCAGTTGTCTACACATAATAAAGCCCTCAATAACAATACATACATCTCAGCAATTAATCTTGCTACTCCTTGTGAGTATAGATGGGTAGCAACAATGCTAGACAGGCAGATTACCCATTATAATCAACTACCAACAGTTACAACAGCTCAGAAAGATGTTCTGACACCAGCTAAGCTGATACACGAATTACAAAACACATATACTGAGTATCATTCTCAGTACTCTCAAACGAAACAAGATACTGAACAAGACAGTCTACAAACGAAAGGCAAAAGTGTAGCTAAAGGCAAAACGAAGCCTTACAATAAAGTTAAATGCTACAACTATAACAAGTACAGGCATATGTCAAAAGACTGATGAAATCCTCTAACGAGCAAAACAACAGAAGCTTGAAAGAAAAAGTATAAGCAAACAGCTACTACTTCTACTACTGCTACTACACTGTCTCAACCTACACTTAATGTAGCAGTATTTATTGGAGACAATAATGAAACAGTATTCATTAAAGACGTTAATGAAATGCTAATGCTAGAGTCTGTAATTGTAGAAGCCTCAGTATCAAGTTCTAGCAGCTTACCTGTTCAATCCACTCTATCTACTAAATCTGATGTATTTTCAGCATTTGAAGTACAAGAGGATGGTGTTATGCAAGTAGACGACTTCATGAACTCATTTGACAATACAAAAGAAGTCATTGAGGAGTTCAGTTACAATCCAAACATATGTATCAATACAATATGTTGTAATGATACTGAACTAATACATTGTATTGATATATTGGACTCTAGTGCAAATGTACACACTACTCCATACTTGTTCTGTCTTACAAACGTTCGGAACTCGACCCTAATAAACATTACAATTGTGAATAAATTGTCATTCTTACTTAGCAAAAGTAGAGTGATGACATTTAATGTAAAACTACAAAACAAAGCTGATGAGCATACAAAGGTGAATACAATTTCACTACAAAACATATACTATCATCCCAATCTGAACTTCACACTTGTTAGTAAAGCACTATTATGTAAAGCAGGATATGTTTTAACAAAAACAAATGATGAATGTATTATTTATTCTCCTGCTTATACAAAGATTGGTGAAATACATGTACAAAATAACTTGTATATGATAGTTTCTCATCATAACAAACAATCTATTAATGTAATCACTATTGTTGATTTACATTGACGAATGGGTCATGTTAATTTTGATTACTTGCACAAACTCATACAAGAGTATTCTAAGATTATAAGTCAAAGGATAACAGACAATAAAAATGTGCAGTGTACAGATTGTATCAAAGCAAACATACAATGTAATGAAATACCAAAAATACGAACAACACCTCTTGTACAATCCTATGGAGATCATCTCCATATTGATATATAGGGACCTGCCCCAGTACAAGCTTACAGTAAGTACGAATATCTTTTTACCATTGTAGATGATGCTACACAATGGGTAACTATGCTACCTATGTGGTATAAAAGTAATGCTTTCACTGAATATGTAAAGTATACAATGAAACTCTTTACACAGTACAGTATAAGAGTAAAAACTCTCCAAAGTGATAATGATACAGTGTTCCTAAGTAAAGACTTCACTATGTATATTGAAAGTCAAGGAACAATATGTAGATTAACAGTACACAATACACTGTAGCAGAACAGAGTTGCAGAATGTATGCATAAGACTATCTTTAACAGTGTACATACGTGTCTGTTATCAGCAAAATTACCTATGAAATTCTGAGTATATGTGGTACAATATCAAACGTTTATTCATAACAGAACACTGAGAGCTGCTATTAATTTTGTAACACCATATTACAAACAGTATAATGAACATTATCAAATAGATAATATATGAGAATTCAGTACATATTGTATCATACAGAACAAATGAACACATAAACTACAACCTAGAGGCCAACACACACAATGGCTAGGTTATGATAATGACAGTAAAGGTCACTTAGTGTGCTATGATAATAAAATTACTGTTGAGTGCAACATACAATTCATAGACAAACCAATGTCTAGGATTGAAGGGGAAAATAATCATAATGATGATACATCAAACAACAATGAAACTCTTCCTAATAACAATAATAAAGATAAAGAACCTGTCATACAATGCTCTACACAAGAGCAAAGACTGGTTAAACAAACTATAGGTTTAAATTACAAAGATGATATAAACCTAGCTATGTATCTAACAGAATTTAACAAATTCCTCAATGAAGTCTATAACAATCCATTAATGTATTATAATGCTATAATACATATAGACAAAGATCAATGGATCAAAGCTATGAAGGATGAAATACAGTCACTTCAATAACAAAATGTGTGGATATATGCTATCCCCCCTATGAATACAAATGTAATTGGAACAAAATTTGTCTATAAAATCAAAAGACTAGCTAACGGCTGAATAGACAAATACAAAGCACAATTTGTAGTACAAGGATATGCTCAAAAGAATGGAATAGACTTCTATTCTGACAACTTATTTGCTCTAGTAACAAAACTATTAACAGTACAATTATTGTTATCTTGGGCAGCATCTAAGAACTATGAAATACATTAGATAGATGTAAAATCTGTATATCTTTATGGAGAATTAAATGAGGACAAACTCATCTACATGAAACTGTTGCCAGGCAGGCTACTTACAGATATTAAACCTGGACAAGTGTTATACTTAAATAAAGTATTATACAGATTGAAACAA